AATGTCGATATGTTTGGTTTTTGAGTGAAGCACCGGATTGTGAGTGATAGCGATTGCACTAGTATTATCACAATAAATACTAACATCATCACAATTAACTCCGTAATCCTTCAATTGTTGCTTCATCCACAAAATTTGCGCACAACAACTACCTGCAGCAATATATTCGGCCTCGGCGGTACTAGTTGCGATAAAATTTTGCTTTTTGCTGAACCAAGAAACAAGCTTTCCCCCCAATAACTGGCATGTCCCGGAAGTGATTTTTCTGTCTATTTTGCAACATGCAAAATCCGCATCTGAAAAACCCGTTAGAGTAAAATCTGTACCTTTTGGATACCACAATCCAACATTGATTGTGCCTTTCAGATATCGTATGATCTTCTTTGTTGTGGTGAGGTGGCTTTCTTTTGGATTTGCTTGGAATCTTGCACACACTCCCACGGCATAAGAAATGTCCGGCCTGCTTGCAGTAAGATATAGAAGAGAACCAATCATTCCTCTATATTTTGTTTGATCGACATCCTTTCCATCTTCATCTTTGTCTAGCCTTATTGATGTGCTCATTGGAATTTTGATCGATGATTTTCCATCAAGGCCAAACTTCTTTATCAAGTCGCGGGTGTACTTTGCTTAATTGATGAATACTCCTTCTTTCAGTTGTTTGACTTGTAAGCCCAAGAAGTAATTCAATTCACCCATCATGCTCATTTCGAATTTGTTTTGCATAAGCTTCGAAAATTTCTCACACAAAGAATTGTTAGTTCTTCCAAAATTAATATCATCAACATATATTTGCACTAATAAAATATGATCACCATCTTGAATTCTAAATAGAGTTTTGTCAACAAGGCCTTTGGTGAATCCACAGCTTATTAAGAACATTGACAAAGTATCATACCAAGCTCTAGGTGCTTGTTTCAACCCATACAATGCCTTTTTAAGTTTGTAGACTTTATCACCTTCGCCTTTTACCTCAAAACCTGGGGGTTGTTCGACATAAACTTCTTCTTCAAGTAGACCATTCAAGAATGCGCTTTTCACGTCCATTTGATAAACAGCGAAATCTTTGTGTGCGGCGTAGGCTAGGAAAATTCTGATTGCTTCGAGTCTGGCCATCGGTGCAAAAGTTTCATCAAAATCTATTCCTTCTTCTTGAGAGTATCCTTTTGCAACGAGCCTTGCTTTATTCCTAACAATCACGCCTTCTTCGTTTGCTTTGTTCCGGAAGACCCATTTGGTTCCTACAACATTGTGGTTCACCGGTCTTGGAACAAGTTCCCAAACATCATTTCTTTTGAATTGATCGAGCTCCTCTTGCATAGCATTTATCCAATCCGGATCATTTAGAGCTTCGTCAACTTCTTTTGGTTCAATTTGAGATAGATAACACGTGAACAATGCTTCCATGGTAGATGATCTTGTTTTCACGCCTTCATGAATATTCCCAATAATTAATTCTGGAGGGTGATTTTTGAGCCATCTAAAATCTGGTTGAAATGGGTGCATGGTACTGGGTGGATCCATTTGTTGTGAACTGACAGTGTTGGTTCGAATTTCATCATTCAATTCTTCTTGAAATTGATTACCAACTTCACATGCAACTTGATCACTAATTGGATCTCCAACCCGTACAGCATCCTCTTTCCCACGTGAGGCATCACCACCAAAATTATTATTAAAAGAATTTCCTACTTTTTCTGGATGAGGGATGAGATTTTCTAGAGAATTAATTTCCAACTCATCCATTCCCTGCAAAACATCATCTTCACACGTATCATTAGTATCACAAAAATCAATATGACACTTGTTACCATTTTGTGCAATTTCTTCGCCCAGAGCATCATTTTTGATCTGTGATTTTTCATCAAATACCACGTGTATGGATTCTTCAATCACCATTGATCTTTTATTCAAAACTCTGAACGCCTTGCTCGTAGTCAAATATCCTAGAAAAATTCCTTCATCTGCATGTTCATCAAAAGCTTTTAGATGAAATTTATCATTAATATGAATAAAACATTTGCATCCAAAAATATGAAAATAACCAATATTTGGTTTTCTCCCTTTATATAGCTCGTATGGCGTCTTCTTGTATTGCTTATGGATCATGCTTCGATTTTGTGTGTAGCAAGCAGTGTTGATAGCTTCCGCCCAATATCGTTTCGGGAGACCGGCAGCAGTAATCATCACTCGTGCGGCTTCTTTGAGCGTCCGGTTTCTTCTTTTGGCAACACCGTTTTGTTACGGTGTTCTTGCGGCAGATAATTGATGAGAAATTCCATGTGAATTGCAAAAAGCTTTTATAACTCCATTCACGAACTCGGTTCCGCGATCCGTTCGTATTTTTGATATTTGCAATTCTTTCTCACTTTGTAGTTGCTTCAACAGCTTCGGTAGAACTTGCTCAACTTCATTTTTCTTCTTGAGAAACACGGTCCAAGTGTACCTGGAAAAATCATCAACAACAACGAAAGTATATTTCTTACCACTTACACTTATTGGATCAACTTGTCCAAATAAGTCGATATGTAGTAAGCTTAGCGGTCTTGACGTTGACTCGTGTGTCTTTGATTTGAATGATGACTTGATTTGCTTTCCGCGTTGGCATGCATCACACACTTGGTCTTTCTTGAAGATATTGTCTGGCAAGCCTTCAACTAGATTCTTCTTTGCAAGCTGATTGATAGTCTTGAAGTTTAAGTGGTTGAGCTTTCTGTGCCATTCCCAATTAGCTTCAATCGAATTTCTGGCCATTAAGCACACTGAATCTTTGCTTGTACTCCAATCAACAACATACATATTCTTTTTTTCCAGAGAGAACAATCTCATTTGTGAGCTCATTTTTTATTAGGCAATTATCTTTAGAAAATTCTACAAGATAGCCTTTATCACAAAATTGACTAGTGCTCAACAAATTAAATTTTAAGCCTTCAACGAAAGAAACATCTTCAATCTTCAATCCATTTTTCTTGATTGTGCCAACTCCTCTTGTGATTCCATAATTTTGATTTCCTCCGAATATAACTTTTGGTCCATCGATTTCTTTGAAATTCACTAGATATGATCTATTTCTAGTCATGTGGCGTGAGCAACCACTATCGATGTACCAAACATCCTGCAAAAAAAATTAATTAACTTTAGGTACCCATACTTGCTTGGGTCCTTTACTGTTAGTGATTTTAGGTAGCCAAACCCACCTAGATCTTATTGAATTAAGATGAGGCGATTTGTAACCATTTGAGATACGATAATCATAACTCACTTTTGAAAACATTTTTGGCGCCGGGTTTTGAAAAACATTTTTATATTTTGGCACATGGGAAGAGGATTGTTGCTTTGGTCTATAAAAAGCATTACATCTATTACACAACCAATCCTTTTGAGTGGGATAAAATCTCCCAACTCTATTTCTAGAAAAGCTTCCCTCTTTTCTATGAAATCTTTTTGCACTACTCTTTGGCATATCTTTGCTTGATGAATTTTTGTTGCTTTGCCGTGTAGTCGAATTGTTTCGACCTTTCAACATTCAACTTTGCTTTTTCATGATAGCCAAGTCCTTGTCTCATCGTGCTATTATGACTTTTAACAAATTTTACCACTTGAACTTTATTATTTAAAGTAGTAGTAGAATTAGTCAGATTTGGAGGGGTTTGAGAACATGTGGAGTCATAACCGATTCCAGTTCTATCTCCTGATGGCTTTTGCATGCTCACCATTTTATCTATAATTTTAGACGAATTAGTGAACGTAGCAATGGTTGCCGGAAGGTTATGTTCTCTAACCTCTCTTGCTTTACACTCTTCTTGAAGATGAATATTTTCATTCTTCAATTTACTCATTTCAAGTAAAGCATCTTGCAATTTTTTATTCATTTCTTCTTTTTCAAGAATTAGAATATTATTTCGCTCCTTGAGTTGAGGATGAGTGAGCATAATCTCTTGACATTCTCGCATTAGATTGTCAATAGATTCACGAGAAAAAGAAGAATTAACAGAATTGAAAGAATTAGAAGTTACCTCTTCTTCCTCTGCTTCAAGAGCCATAAGACAATCTTCACTTGTACTCAACTCAATTGACTTGCATACTAGCGCCGTATCATCATCCGAACATGAACTTTCATCGCTTGATGTTGAATCCTCCGAATCATCATTTTTGTTTGGTTCGTTGCTAACGAGAGCTTTTCTTTTGTCGCGCTTGAACCTTTTTCTTTCGAATTTGTTCGGCGTGGATTCAACACATTTTCCTTGATACTTGCTAACGATCGGATACGGACAATTTATTTTAAAATGTCCGGGTTTGCGGCAATTGTAGCACAAATTGTTGTTTTCTTCGACTTTTTCTTCTTGTGGGGTGCGAGAGCCGAATTTTCCACGAGCAGAATTTTTGTTGTCTCCTTTTCACATAAACCTTCTAAACTTTTTGACAAAAAGAGCAAACTGTTCCTCAGTCATAAAATCAACATTATTTTCTACTGACCTGGAGGTTGACGGTTGTTCGGCCATTAGAGCAGAATTTCGAGCTTCATGAACATCATCATCTTTGGCCTTCATTTCGAACTCATATGCTTTTAGATCACTAAATAATTTGTCTGTTGACAACATTCTTAGATCTCGGTGATCGCGCATAGCCGTAACCTTCATATCCCATGCAGATGGTAAGCCTCATAGGATTTTGAGATTAATTTCTTTTTGGCTAATATTTTTGCCAAGATCACTAATCCCTCCAAGAACTTTGATCATTCGAGCTTCCATGTCTGCAACACTTTCATTTGAGATCATTTTGAAATCTTCAAACTTCTTCATGGCGATTGTGAGTTTATTTTCTTTTTCTTGTTTATCTCCTTCGCCAATCTTGATGAGAGTTTCCCATATTTCTTTAGCAGTAGCACACTTTCGGATCTTCGGAAATATTGTATCATCAACGGCTTTGAATAGAATATCCTTGGCAATATTGTCAAGATTATTCCGTGTTCTATCATCTGATGTCCATTCCGGTTTTGGCTTTTGTACGTACTGTGGAGCATTTGGGGATATAACAAACACCGTATTGATTTTTAATATTTCTATAGAGCCAGTGGAAATAACTTCCCACATTTCATCGTGTAAAGCCGATAAGTGTACCTGCATACGAACTTTCCAATCATCAAATTTATCAAGTGAGAATAATTGATTTTGAGCTAAATCTTTCTTCATCATCATCACGAGAGATATGAAAGATTAATCCAATTCACACACTTTGTAGAATGGATCAGCATAGCACTAAAAAACAGTTAACCCAGTTGGGCAACGTGTTTTAATACTAAAGGTTGGTATAAACTGACTCAAATAGGCTACAGGCTCTGATACCAATTGTTGGTCCCAAAAGAGGTAAGGTGAAAGTCTAGAGGGGGGGGGGGGGGGTGAATAGACTTTCAAACTTTTTCGCACAGCACAACAATTGCTAAGCCAGAGATAAACCAAAACTCTTAACTAGATTGTTAGAGTATGGTGCACAGTGGAATTAAATAAAGATAAAGTGTGTGTGAGATTGTGTGAGCAGTATATCTCGTGTAGAGCAATTATGTAAAGAGCAGTAAGTAAAGAAAGCAGTAAAGAACACAAGACAATTATAGTGGTTCGCGAGGTGGTGTAATCCTCCTACTCCACTTGCTCTTTTCTCCAAGAGCAATTCACTATATCTACCACTTCTTGGTTCCAAGATACAATGAATTTCCGTGATCTAGTGCTTTGATCACAAAGCCCGCACTAATCACGCCCAGTGACACCACACTGCTGCTTCGGGTTTCACGTCGTCGCGCTACTCTCCCAGGATTTCACGACTCCGCGTTACTTTCCCCCCATCTTCCACACTCCGGTAGAAACGTATCCCGTGATCTAGTGCTTTGATCACAAAGCCCGCACTAATCACGCCCAGTGCCTCCGACACTGCTGCATCGGATCTCATAGCTCCGTGTGACAATCCAGGATTTCACAGCTCCGTGCTACTTTCCTCCCTTCTCTTGTTTTGCTCCAAAACAAGTGTTGTCTTGCTTCCAACTTCTGAGACTCTGTAGTTGATCTTCAATGATGCGCAGGTCTCTTTGATGAAGATAAACACTCTGGAATGATTTCTCTTGATAGCTCTGAGTGTTTTTTCTATTTGAATATATCAAGTAAAGCACTTGATTTTTATGCTCTGTTTAGCTCTGCTTTTTGAACTCTCTGAATATTTTCTTTTAAGCTCTCTGAGTTCTTTTTCTTTTCTCACTTCTCACTTGAAGATTTTTGGTATGCCCTGTACCAAATGAGATTTTTGCTCTATTGCTCTTTTAAGTCTTTGTTCGTGTTCTCTGCTCTATGCTCTTCACAAGTTCATGATCTTCAAGTCTTCATATCTTCATCATTTTATAGCTGGTAATGAGAATCTGTCCATTGGAAAGAGACGCTCTCATTTTTGAAATCTTGTATCTTTTTGTCAGAGATCTTATCTTATCTTCTGCAAGGATGTCAGAAAGGATAAGCTAGCCGTTTGAGAGCTTGAACTTCATGCGAATGGTTTCCCAAACTTCATCTGGTATTCCTCTGGTTTTACGTTGAGTGGAAATATCTGGGTGTAGAACGGCTTCTCTGATTAGCTCTGAAGTGGTCCTTGTATCTTTGGGATTTAAAAATATTCTTCAATTTAATCCCATACTAGTTAAACTAGTATTTTTCCTTGTGAGAATATTTTTACTGTAAGTTCATCTTCATCTTCTTCATTCTCACGTCTGAGTGTTCTCAGACTTCAAACTGGCTTTGAACTTCCTCCCAATTTGAATTTCTCCATTGTAATTGACACCCAATTTCAATTGACTTGTAATTGGCACCCAAATTTGAATTTCTCCATTGTAATTGACACCCAATTTCAATTGACTTGTAATTGGCACCCAATTTGAATTTCTCCATTGTAATTGGCTCCCAATTGACTTCTCCTGGTGCCAATTGACTTTGACTTGCAATTGGCTCCCAAACTTCTCCTGGTGCTTTCAATTGCTTCCCAATTTGAATTATTGACTTGACTTCGAAATTGGCTCCCAGACTTCTCCTGGTATTGAATTTTGTCTCAATTCAACCAATTTGAATTATTGACTTGACTTCGAAATTGGTTCCCAGACTTATCCTAGTATTGAATTTCAACCAATTTGAATTATTGACTTGACTTCGAAGTTGGCTCCCATACTTCTCCTGGTATTGAATTTTGTCTCAATTCAACCAATTTGAACCCCTGGTATTGAATTTGGTCTCAACCCCTGGTATCGAAATTGGCTCCCAGACCTCTCCTGAATTCAATTTGATGTCTTCTTCGAATCAGGAATTTTGTCTCAATTCAATTTGATCTCGGTCTCGTGTGAAACTTGCTCCCAAATTCAATTTGATGTCTTCTTCGTCTCATGTGAAACTTGCTCCCAAATTCAATTTGATCTCGGTCTCATGTGAAATTTGCTCCCAAATTCAATTTGATGTCTTCTTCGAATCGGGAATTTTGTCTCAATTCAATTTGACCTCGGTCTCATGTGAAACTTGCTCCCAATTTCGATAATTTCTCTGAAACTAGCTCCCAATTTCAATTGTTTAGTTTCCAGAGATGTAATCCTTGACTAGCCGCAGGTATATTTAACACTGCTTTACAATGTCTTGGATGTCTTTAATTTCTGCCTTTTATCTAGATATCCTCTCTAAGCTATTTTAGCAAGTTGGATAGGTGCCACTATTTTGTTATTTGTGTAATTGTGTCTTGACTAAGGCATTATTTTAAAATATCATGATTTTTGTATTTATTTAATATTTGTATGAAGGAATGTTCATGAATAATATTGCTATTTAGTTTCAAGAAAAGAAAATGGTTAATTCTAGATTTCATCTTGTGATTTCAATACTTTAAGGTTTGGATTACTTCATTTTAAGTTTTGGTGTATTAGAGAGTTCTATTAGAATTTAATGTGGTGCAATAAAGTTAATTCTTGCTTTGCTTACTTTTTTATTGTTAGCTTTGCTTTCCTTTGTAGCATTTCTCTTTGCCTCTCTAAGAGCTTGCATCTTCTCTTCCTTGCACAAAGTTTAACAGTTGTATGGCATATCGAACAAGAATGTAGCTGCAATTCCTTTCTCTTCCCTGCACAAAGTTTAACAGTTTTTTTTTTTTTTTTTTTTTTTTTTTTTTTTTTTCTGTATTTGGTTTACATCCCCATTAGAAAAGTAATTTACATGCGCATGCATTTTCTTTTCCTATCAACCTCTTCATCCAACTCTTTCCTAGGCATACAAATGTAAACAAAAACAGGAAAATGTAAAGGTTATCAATTTCAAGAAATATTAAACTCATTTTTATTGTATTTAGAATAATATGCATTTTTTTCTTGCTTGTTGCTTGTGTGTGGTGTGATGATTGTAAAACTATAACAATAGGCATGGAATGATTTAACCAATACTTTAATCGGAAGCGTTAAAGTACTAACCTGATTCCATGAGAGAATGATGAAGCTTTCAACCCTTTCTTCTTCACAACTTCTTTATGCAAGTTTTTAGAGTGTTTTTCAGAATACTTTTCCCTCTGGTCTTTCACGTTAGTTTTCACAGTGATAGGATAGGAAAATGCTTATACCCTTTTATATTGCCTTCTTTACATAACTTACATTCCAATATTGATCATTGGAATTTTGGCAATAATGGCCATAAACCAAATATTAAGTAGGCTTAAGTAGCCCTATTGAAAGCCAAAGAGAGGGGAGTAATAACCCCTTGATCCGTTACATATTTTATTCCCATTACCTATCACAACGGGATTTTAATTGTCCAGACCACTTTAATACATGGACCACAATAACATTAGAATAAAATATTCTAACATTCTCCCACTTGGTCCATGTGTATCATTGATGCATTAGGATAACTTTAATTCGCGAAATATCCCAAAACATCAATGAACCTTTACTCAAATTAAAGTTAGTTAGATCATGGCGGTCGCACGTTATTTGAACAACATGTTCCCTTCCATGCATCATAGGTCAACTTTAATTTCGATACTGACAACCATAGGTGCAAACAGAGATATAACATTAATTGAATTCAACCAAGTCAATATAGCATAAAACTGAAAACCAAAATTACAATGATAACAAGGCTCTATGCAAAATTCCCATAATCTCCACATGACAGGAGAAGACTTTCGGTGCTAAACCTTTGGTCAAAGGATCAGCAACCATAAGTTCATTTTTGATATGCCAAATTGACACTCTCTGTTTCTATACTTCTTCTTTAACTGACAAGTATTTCAATTCCATATGCTTAGCACCCTTAGAGTACTTGTCATTCTTAGAGAAGAACACTGCTGCGGAGTTGTCACAATAAATTCTCAAATGTCTAGAAATACTGTCAACTACTTTAAGCCCCGAGATCAAATTCCGCAGCCATAGTCCATGATTTGTGGCTTCAAAGCATGCCACAAATTCTGCCTCCATAGTGGAAGTAGCGATGACTGACTGCTTCGCACTTTTCCAAGAAATTGCTCCTCCAGCTAATAGGAACAAATAACCAAATGTAGATTTTCTTGTATCTACACACCCAGCATAGTCTGAATCAGAATAGCCAATCACTTCAAGTGGATCTGACTTCCTATATGTAAGCATGTAATCTTTTGTGCCTTGTAGATATCTTAAAACCTTCTTCGCAGCCTTCCAGTGTTCTATGTCGGGATTACTTTGATATCGACCCAACATACCAACAGCAAAGCTGATGTCTGGCCGAGTACAAGTCTGTAAATATCCCAAACATCCAACCACTATTGCATAAGGTATACCTTCCATTTGCTTTTTCTCAAGTTCATTTCTGGGACATTGAGCTAAACTTAATTTGTCTCCTTTCTGCATTGGAACCACTCCTGGAGAGCATTTATCCATCTTAAATCTTTCCAAGATCTTGTTAATGTATCCTTTCTGAGACAATCCTAATAATCCTTGTGTTCAATCTCGGAATATCTCTATTCCAATCACATAGGA